TTACAATTTCGAGTCGAGTCTTTCCAGCAAACTTCAACAACAACATCCTAAGACCTGACTCTTCTTCTAACACATTTTAATTGCAAAAATTAAACCTTCTTACCAAAATCTTACAGAGGTTCTGTAGATGTAAAATTGCACTTGTTTTAAGACATTAATACTATAAAACTGTACCTGGGTGCCTTGTCAGGTTAAAGAGGGGAATTCAGCATTGATTCCTGTGAAAGAATTTGATCATATAGTGATGTTTTTTCATAGATTTTCGCAAGAATTTCAGTTAATTAACTCTGGTTTAGTTCAGTGACCAATTGGTGCCGGTTCTTCATGATTAGTTTAAGTGTAATTACTCATACTTTATGTAAATAATTAGTAAATTAAGGCTAAATAAGGCATGCTGAGGATAAGGACAAACCAGCCCATAACTCTTCTTTCACTTTCTCTATGGGCCTTCCCAAACCTCCAAAGATAGGAAAGTGGAGTGGGACAAAACACATCATTATTGCTCTATGAAGGAATATTCCAGCTGTGTAGGCATGTTTAATTGCTTATTTTTTGTGTTTTTTTATTTCACTCAAACATTGTGGGTTTGGTGCAATTCATGGCTTATGATCATTTGGAATCTATTTATATGATGTATGCTTGGTCAATCATGAACATTGATGCATATTGAAGCTAGAAAGATTTTGGAGCCAAATTCATGGTTACTTGAATTTCTAAGTAGATGGACTTATGATCAAACCAATTGTCTTGATATAATAGTTAAATAATTTGATAAGTCCAAGATGTGCTTATATGTAGGGCTTAAAAAATAGCTTAAAATTTTGGGTTATAATTGGAGGACCAAATGATCTCTCAATCTTACATGCTAATGGTTAAATTGAGCGTGTTGATGGGATGAATTTCGTGAGCTTAAAATCACTTTAATCCAAAATCATTAAGGAATACAGACATTCAAAAATTACTTTAGAATTAAAGTAATCATTCAAAAATTAATGTCCTATTTAGACTTTTGTGATATTTATTTAATATTTCAAATAACATATTTATAAATATAAAGTTCTTCTTTACAAGAGAGGCGGTTGAAATTGAAGTCTAGAGGGACCTTAAAAGCCTAGAAGATATTTGAGCTCCACCTTAGCTTATTTATCAAACACTACTACTAGACCACCATAGTCAAATCAACATGACTCGAGCACAATCAAACAACAATCATTTTATTACTATCATCAGAATATTAACACTTGAAAATTATCATCAAACCATCATTACTAGTCAACCATTATCGCATCATCAACATTGGTCCACTACCATATAGCCACCACCGCAAAATCACCATTGCTCATTCACTACCATTTGATCACCATTTTTGGAATGCTAGCATAATTGTATAACTACCATTATGGGACAATCACATCATTCAACCACGACCACTTTTTCACAATCGCTCAACCTTCTTCTCCCATTCATGGGTGCTCGACCTCTATCATATGTAAATGGTTGCATAATTATCATTGTGCGACATTAATGACCTTATTATCATCATTTTACTATTATTTCCCAAAAACCATCATCTAATTATAGTTTCCAAACTAGAATCATCTAGCCATCAACATTTGATTATGCATAGTCATTTAAACATTGTTGCTTGTCTATGCTTTCCTTACTTCCATAGCTTATTTTCGTTACATTATTATTATTATCTTAGATTAACTATATTTGGCTAATTTACACTTGATTTTATGAAATATTCTACACTAATATTTAATTTTTCAACTTTTTCAGGTAAGCTAGAAATTCATGCATAGAAAAAAAAAATTTAGTATGTGCATCCATCTAAGTGAATCTGGAGAAATCCAATTTGTTTTAGGGAAGATTTTTCATTGGATACTAAGTCATCACCTAGATGCTCGACTATAAAGCATAGATAAGAGAACACAATGTTCAAGTGACAAATCTAGTAGTCAATATTTAGAGTTTGATGCTTGATATTATAACTAGACACCTAGGAAGCATAACTTAATAAACAATTCACAAGATCAGTGGCCACAAGCCATAATATATTTTTTAGACTCTAGACTAAAGTACTCAAGTTCTTGAACTTAACCAACTAAATTGGGATCTCAACGCCTATGTGCCTTATAACACTAATAAAAAAATATGCCTTATTTTAAACATAAGAACTTGTCATTTAGGGAGGATTCATACCAGCCATATTTAAATGACTTTCTTGGTTTATTAAATGGACTTTTTAGTGGATCTAAAGTAGATTCATGAAATGTCTCTTCTGAGGATTTGAAGATCACTAATTAGAGCCATTTGAACTAGAGTTTTTAGGCTAAGCTCATAATAAAAGTTAAGATCACTAATGGATCTGTACTGATATTTCTAAAAATTTTTTCTTATCATTCTCTTCATTCTTCCTTGTAATCACGCTCGAGATTGTAGATGATTTTGTTTTTTTAATTTTGAATATGTGTTGTTTGCTCTTTTGAAGGATTGTATGTAACCTATTGTGTATTGATGTAACTATAATTTTGATTTAAGAATCAGACTTTCTTTTGTCTTGCATGATTTAAATATTTTATTCAATTCAAGATTATTCTATTAAGTGCTTTGCTAGTCACTAGATTAGAACATTTGATTGAAACCAAGAGGTGGAAAAATAATAAGTCATGAATTAATTACCACAATGATGGATTGTTTGTTATAGAAAAATGTAATGAACCTGTGTAGTCTATATTGAGATCCTAACAGTGTTGAAAATATTTCCTTATATTTAATCTATAACCACAAGGTTTGTAGGTTGTGGAAGAAAACTAAAAATCCTTGGCTTATGAGAATAAGATAGATACACCTCTAATCAGACTACAATAGCTGAATATAAACCTCTTTAATTGAATAAAAATTTCTTAAATCAATCATCACAATTGAAACCCAATTTTGGCCTCAGTTATAGTGATTGATTTTCTCCAACTATATCCAACCTATCAATCATAGTTAGTTGTCCATTTATCAAATGCAAGATAATATTTTATCTTTCATAGCCCTACTTTGACTTTTCAAATAGTAATTAATAGATCTAATTCTTTCACTTATCATGCAAATCTTGTAGAATGGTCATCTTACTCACATATTACTAGTCGGTGTACCTTCACTTGCACAAATGGATGCCCTAGTGCAGTACATCCCACATATTTGAACAAATTTTTGTATTCATCAACAGGGATTGTAAAAACCAATTATATAAACATCAAGTTTTAACAATTATATCAAACATTTTTTTTCCTTTATTATGTTTTATTATGATCATTTTATTTTTTTTTTATTTTTGTTCTTTTTACCACTTTCATTTGAAGGCTTCTTTTTTGAATGCATTGTATAGTAAGTGAGCCACTCCTTGTTGTAAACCGAGAACTCAAGCAAATATTTTTGAAAAAGAAAATATTAAATGCAGTAAATTCAAATATAATTGTCCATAATTAAGTTTTTAGTTTGGTTATTGGGGACCATGCACTACTAATAGTGTATGTAATACTGCATGTCATTATGAAGTTGGTTTTAAAGAAATAAATTTTGAATTGAAGTGAATGAAATTGCTAATGATCCAAATAATTCAATGTGATGCCTTAGCTAATGAGGATTTAAATTCCCACATTTCATACATTGTAGAGATTTAAAACACTTTTAAGTATTATATAAAATTGGTGTTAAAATAAAAGTGAGGATGTTTGCATTCTCACTATGGGATCATGCAACAAGCTAGTTAAACTCACTATTGAGTGACTCCATCACTAATTATGCTGGTCTTATATAGAAATTCTTATCAAAAAACTTTTGCCAGTCAAGACTGTAAGAATGAAGATACGAACATCAAATTTCGTATAAATGGAGGATTGGATTCTATACATGCCTGGGATAAATTTAAAGACCTCTTAAAAAAAATATCCATATCACTAGCTTTCAAGTAAAGGTAGCTATAGACCATCTACAATAGGTTGGATGCACAAACTTGCAAACATAAAAATCCTCCTTCAAATTTTATTTACTATATCTTAGATTTAAGGTAAAAAGGAGAAGAAATGGGATTTAAGATCTTGTATGGTTTAAAGTAGTCATTTTTGTTGTTTAACCAATATTCGAGATTTAAGGCAAAATTGAAAAGAAACGGGATTTAAGAATCTTTAGGGGCTTTTTTTTTGTATTTTTTATTAATTGGTAGGATTTATGTTAAGTCCTACTTAATGCTACTTAATTTGTGCCACCAAAGTTCTTATCATCTTAAATATTAAAGATTCCAAATAATTCAACAATATGAATTGAACCTTTTATATATACTACTTCTATATTTATTTTAAGTTAAATTGAATCTTCAAAAAAAAAAAAAAAACAAATCACAAATTTTGATATATTGGATATTAAAAAATCTCCTAAGATTTCTGTCTTGGTTAAATATATTTTGTAATTATAAGATGATGTCTGTTAACAAATGAGAATTAAGTTATTAGGATTGAGTAAATCCTGTAAATTCATTTTTACTCAATCCTAAATAGAGTAAATCCGAGAAACAGTCTGACAATGGATTTACTGAATCCTGTATAACCTTAAATCCAAGCTCATGAAGTTAATTTCATCTATTCATGGGATTTAATAAATCTGAATTTACTGTCGAAATCCTCAGAATTCGAATTTATGGCATTCGACAGTTTATTTTGTCGAAAATAACCACACGATACTACGTAAATCCTGGGTTAAATCCATTGTCAGACAGATCCCAACTGATCTTAAGTAAAATTTAAATAAATATCTGCATTAAAACTCTTGTTTTTAAAATTTAACATTGTAAATCCTGGGTTAAATCCATTGTCAGACAGATCCTAACTGATCTTAAGTAAAATTTAAATAAATTTAACAGATATAGCATAATTGAATAAAATCTTGAGTCAATTATATTTAGCAACAATCTATCCCTCAGCAACATTGTCCTACGCAGTGAAATCCGCATTGCTTTTTTGGAGACAACAGGAGTAAAGGCGCAGCTCTCCACCATTTCCATGGAGACCTACATAGATGCTGTGTCTTCAATTTTAAAGCACAAATAGCATAGATTCCATGTCATAATTATAAGCTCCCATGTCCATGTCCTTTTCTTCAAGGAAAGAGAGAGAAAGCTCGAAGCAAAGTACTGATTGAATGAAAGCAGAGCAAGCCAGGAAGCGTGGCATGGGTGAAATCATTACAATCTCTTCAAGAGAAAGGCTTGGGATCATAGGCACAGTTTTCAATCATGGCAGAGATCGTATAATCATCTCACTGTAATTGCAGCAAGTGAAAGAGAAAGCTTCTTCTTTGAGAAAGCAAAGAAAGAAGAGCTATATATTGAAACAAGAGCGAAAAAGCAGGGATTTTGCATCTTCTTAGTTAGAAAAAGAGTGGGAGAGAGAAGAGGTTGATGAGGAAGTTATCCCTTTAATTTCAGTGCTGCAGAAAGGTTTTCCTGAAAAGAAAAAGAGAAGGGAGAGATAGATTGAGGAAGATGGAGGTGAAGAAAGAAGAATAAAGTGGGAAAGTGATAAGCTGAAAAAGTAAGGCAAGGCTTTCTATCTGCAACAGGACACATGTGCAAGATGGCCTCAAGTGTTTCTCTGAGTGGGGAAGTGTTTTAGATGTAGATTCCAAAAACACCATCTCCTTTCTCTTCTCTCCTTTTCTCTCTTCTTGGGACTACCAATCCTTTTTATAAAAATTCATCATGGAGTTTTCAAATATGCTTGATCTCCATACCCACCCTGAGCAGAGATTCTTCCTCCATGCCTCAACATCTCCAGACTGCACCCATGGCTCATTACTGTAAGTTCACTGTTCATTTAATTAACTTCATCATACACACATTTGTCTCTCTTGTTCTCCATGGTTAAAATAATTTATAAGCCATTAACTCAACTCATCTCTCTCATTCCTAGGATTTGGAATTTTCTGGCTTGTGTTTCTTCTCCTTGTTCTGCTATGGAATTTTCTGTCTTGGATTTTCCTAATACTAGTATCATGACAAATTTTTAATTTGGCGCTTACTCAGAAGCTCAGCTCATACTAAACCTCTAGCTTCCTATTGTTCCATTTTAGGTTAAGACTTTAGACTTCTCCCTCCCAAAAATTTTGTTTTTTTATCTTATTCCTGATGAACAGAACAACTTAATTTCAGTAATGGTATTGAGCTCATTCCAACTTCTGGAGATGAACAGCATGTCATAGATCCAGTTTCTCTCACAACTTCTCATCATCACATTTTTCAAGATCTTGGTTTTCAGTGGGGCAGCCATTGCCAGACCTCAACACAACAGTTATCTTCTGAAGTAAAACATGAAGATCATACACAACTAGATGAACTCAGCAGTTATCAACTTTCACGTCCTCCTCTCATTCATGGAAGCTTAGGGTTTGATCATTTGTGTTATGGAACACTTCTTCCTGGTGTAAACATGCAGACTGCATATATGGCTTCCATGGAGACATCATTAGGTTTGGACATGGAGGCTCTGGATACCTTGTCATCAACAAGATATGGCAGGATTGCTCCTTGCCAATCTTCTAACATTAATGGTTCTATAAATGTTGATAATATGAGCTATGAGCTTCTGCACCAGTGGCATCATCCAGCTCATGGAGGTTTCATGAATCTTCAGGAGGTTGGTGCTCATGATAATTAAGTTTCATTTCCTTCTACATTTTAATTCAAAGTAATATAGTTATTACTAGGGTTTAGAACTGTATTTTTTTAAAGTTATTTTTTACTAATTAAACCATTATACTTTTTTTTTTTTATAAATTTAAACGCTAAATACTCAAGCTGAATATTTTTCTTAGTCAGAAAAATATATACACATATATGTGTCAATGACCTGGCTCATTGGTGCGGCCTCTGACATAAGTCCCTCGGGTCGGGGGTTCAAATCCCGTGGTGCGGTCTCTTCGAATCAGAAGCAAACACACCAGAGTTTTCAACCTTTTCAAGGAATCGATATTTGATGGTCACTGGACCAAATATCAATTTCACCTTTATATATATATATATATATATTGCAATATAGCTAAAGAACATGAACAAAGAACTAGTAGGGCAACCCAAAAATGAAATTAAAAAAAAAAAAAACACTAATGCATCGCTCATGAACATTTTAAACAATTAAGCAAACAACAAGAAAGATCAATGTGCATTAAACTGCAAATACTTATTGGTAAATATGCAATCATCTATATAACAATGCATAACACTAGATAATATGAAATAAATAAGATATATATGTGAAACACTGCATATATTATATGAAATAAATAATATACTTAGAGGTAACATAATATGCAATTATGTTTGATACTTTCCTTTAGTTTTATCATTTAGGAATGACAATGCAGTAGAAAGCAAGCTTTAAGACATGATTTGTGTTTCTCCCCCTCCTTTTCAAATTGAAGAAACCGAAAAGCAATTTGTGGAGCTCTTTTCAGCTTTTATGACTGATTTGAATCATCTTTTATAAAGTGACAGAAAAATAATTTTCTGGCCGACGTTCTAAGTTCTCTGCATGATCCCCCACTTCTCTACTGTTGTTCTGTAGATTCCAACATCAATCAATGGAGGACTCACTGATGGAAAGGGAGCAAACTGCAGCAGCCTCGATCATCTCAGACCGTCGAAGAAGCCGCGCTTTGATCCGCGTCCTTCTCTCCCGCCTTTTAAGGTGCATATGATATGCATGCAGATGATGGTGCATATCATATCATGTCATCAAATGTATGACATGATACGATCCACACTGTCATCAACACGTATGTACTATTCTCTCATAAAATAAATGAAATTTTTGAAGTTGTATGCAGATGATGATGTGGATCATATCATGTCATCAAATGCATGACATGATACGACTATTTTCTCATAAAATAAATAAAAATTTTGAAGTTGTAACCATTATTTCTCTCTCCCTCTAACTCTATAGGTTAGGAAGGAGAAGTTGGGAGACAGGATTGCAGCACTTCAGCAGCTGGTTGCACCATTTGGAAAGGTGATTGTAGTTCTTAATTATATAATTCCTACTTTTCAAATGAATTGATGTTTTTTAACTTTAACGGTCATCTGCTTTGAAATTGCTGTCTCACTTTCTCTTTTCTTTATTTGGTTTATTTTGGTATTTTATTTTAAAAGTTTATTTATACTATTTAATATTATAATTCTTTATTAAAATTTAACATAAAATCTAAAAAATGTTTTTTTTTCTATTCTAGAAATTAATTTTTATTAAATTATGATTAGAATTTAAAGTCATATGATTAATGATCATTAATTTCCTAATAATGTTAAATTATTATTATTATTAGTATTATTATATATATATATATATATATATATATAGTGTAATACATATTTTAATGAAGAGTATAAATTGCTTAAGTGTAATGTATGTAAATGTAAAAGTTTTGGCTTGAGATATGTAAACACATAAGAGTTGTGTGCTAGGCATGTAAGTATCCCAAAGCCGAAAGGTTTGTTTACTTGGAAGCATGCAACAGACTTTCAGCCATGCAAGTATAAGCATTTCACTGTAGAAAAGTGTGCTAAAATCAATGGAAAAACCAACGGTTTTTATACGTATGAAAAATTATTCTGACTACTGTCGATTTTGCGATTGTTTTTTTTATCTTAGTTATTTACGATGACATAACTATAACATATATCGTCATTTGTTAACAGTATTTTGTTTTACGACTGTTTTTAATTGTAATTGAAGGAATAACTCGTTGGTTACGAAAAAATATTGATCGACAACTATAGTTTATTGGTTATCTTCGAACATGTCATTTGGTGGAATTTAACCGGCACATATTATTATTAAGTGATAAGAACGACCGTCGATAATAGTTTTAATAACTGGCACTATAAAAAATGTTGATAGGCTGTTAGAATTAATCCTATATTCCACCTAAAATCTCCTCCCACCCTCGTCTTCCTCCTCACCTCCCCGAAACCCTTGCATGTCCCTCTTTGTTTCATCCAAAACCATTGTCTTCGTCCCTTCTTGCCTTTTTTTATGTTTATGTATATCCGGACTTATACTTTTTCTCTGAACAGTGATGTACATATTTTAGATTAAATATATTTTATTTATTTTGTTATTTGATTGGATAAATTTCTGTTTGACAACTATATTATTTTAATAATTTGTTAAATGCTTGAAATTATTAAATATATGTTGTGATAATATGTGTGGTGATGTAAATACGAATGGAAGAATTTGATTTTTTTTTCTATTAAGCTATAGGTTTTCTACGATTTACCATCAGTTTTACGATGGTTACAAACTTATTCGTAGGCAAAACCGACGACTAGCCGATGGAGATTGTTACTGACACCTAACTAAAACATAACTAATAGCTTAAGATGTATCACACAAAAGCGACGGACGTGATACTTTTCCGATAGTTATCCCATCAATTATTAGAAACAACACATAAATGATGTTTAACCGGCGGTTATTACTTGCGTCAAAAATATACAGAAGCGACACTTTTTCTATAGTTACTCGTCGGTTATAGAATTCATGCATAAATAACACATAAACATCGCTTTTACCCGCTTCAAAAAACCGATTAGTTTTGATACTCGAATTTTCTCAAAAAAAAAGGTTATGATACTAAATTCTCAAATAACCGTCGGTTAATTTATACCGTCAAAATATCGATTAGTTTTGGAATTACCGACAATGGTTTTACCTAAAACCCTCAATAAACTGTCGGTCACCTTAAAAGCGACGATTTTTCTTATGATAACCGACGAATTGTGGTCGTGGGAAAAAAAAACCCTAATTTTCTAAAGTGCTTAACAAGACTAATATAATACTTCCTAACATTTATTAATTCCATAAAAAATAATAAATTTAATTTTGAATATAATGAAATAAAAAAAACTTAACATCATTTTTTTTATTAGTAAAACTAAATATATTCATAATTTTTTTTATTAACTAAAAACATATTAATATTTCGTATAAAAAGTAAAGTTAAATATTTAAAAATATTTATGCAAATATTTTTATCATCAACTGATGATTATGACCTAAAAAATAGAGTAAAAGATGAGCCACAACCTCTTAAACCAATTCTTATAGTTCTTATAATATAAATACTTCTAAAGCGTTTGTCTTAATAAAAAAATTATTAATTAGAAAAAAAAACATAACTAATTATTTTAAAATAATATTTTGCTAAATATCATAACAAATATGCAATGTTAAAACTTAATTATTTTTATATTAAACTTTTAAAAAAATAAATAAATAAAATTGAGCACACAATAACAACCTGTTAAAATATTAAATCAGGACTCCACACGTAGAGCTACGTGCGGAGTCCAATAAAATTACGCCGTGAAGGTGATCGGTCCGGTAACATAAGGGAATATTCCCCTTATATTATTCATGTGTTATTGTGTGTTATTGTGTGTTATTCAAGTATTATTGATGTGTTGTTATGTTACTATAATACCGAAAATATTCTCAGAATACAATAACACTTGAATAACATATAATAACATCTGAATAACACGCAATAACACCTGAATAACACGAGAGGAATATTCTTTTATGTTACTGGGCTAATCACCTCCACGGCGTAATTTCATTGGACTCCGCACGTAGCTCTACGTGCGGAGTCCTGATGTAATATTTTTTTCTGAAGAAAAGCACAAACACACATGGAAACTCTAACTATATATACATTTGTTATACTCACTTTTTTTTATATAAATACTTGAGAATTAATATTAAAAGTTAATATTCTTATTATATTACTTCAATTAAAAGTCAATAAATTATTTATTGAATCAAAGGGAAAATTTTTGCTCATTTATATGAGTTGTTATAATCATATCATTATCATCACCATATTATTTATTATTATTATTATTATTATTATTATTATTATTATTATTTTAAGATAACAAATTTTAAGAAAAATGTGTAGTCATATCATCACTTGCACATTTCCAAAAATTGCAAGTGTGCCCAAAAAAACCTAATTCTAATCTTCATTTACTTTTAGGGCTATTTCATTTATTGAAAAATAAATTGTATGAGAAGTAATGCAATGTAATTGAAAAGTAGTGTATTTGAAATATTTTGGGCTTGTTAATTAGCTCGATATAAAATAATGCAGGACTTTACTTTTCTGTATTTGATTTGAAGAAAAATAAAATTAATGTAAAATATTAATGTCATTGTCATTTCTAGCAAGTGTCTTGGCATGATGTGTAGGGCTGTCAAAAAAACTCGTTGTTCGTGAACAGTTCGTGTTCGGTTCTTCAATGAGTTCATGTTCGATTCGTTCGATAAGTAAACGAGACGAACATAAATAATTTTTTTTTTGTTTGGTTAGTTAAACGAACTAAACACGAAC